CACCTGCAAAGTTATTTACTGCCAGGGTGATAATGAAGAAAAATATTTACAGTCCTGCCATCTAAGGAGAATGAGCTGATAACAAATGCAGAGTTTCTTGACAGACTGATTTTGTTCTGCATGTTGACAAAGCAAAGAGCTCTATCAAGGAAGAAAGGCATCATCCAAAGAAAATTTGCTTGCTTTTAGATGCAGTGTTTCACGCTGGATTACCTTTGTAAATATTTGCCTAATTCTATTACCGTTAGTTATTTTATGAAAGGAAGCAGCCACCTCTTTATAAACAGTGGCAAACAGTAAATGAGATGTGGTAGTTTGGCACAGCATTTGTGCTGGTACAAAACACCTACGACAGTATTTTGTGCTAGTTAACACAGTGCATACGAAATGCCCCATTGGGATTTTTGGATTCATGGCTATATGGCATGTAATCTCCTGTTAAAACAATGTTACCACTGTGATGTGTGGCAAACCATTGCAAAACCAGCCAAGGTCGTCTGGGTAATCTGTGGGATGTTCATCTAAACTATCACATCTGATGCAGTGATGGTTTAGTGAAAAAGTGTTTTCTGTTACTCTTCTTATTGTGATGTAAACACTTCTCAATGTCTAGTAATATCTAATAAGAATAATATGAATTTGCTGTGGTGCATCAGAAATTCTAGAATTTTTAAGATAACAGGTATAAGAAGGATAAAGCTCAGCTGACTTACACTGAATTTTCATTACAATGCAGGAGTGTTTTTAAAAGACCGTTACAGCTTCATGTAAAACTTGTATTTTAAACGGTTGTGCATACTTAGGCTCATATTCCAGATTATACAGCCAATATTGTGTTAGAGCTTCTCCATGGAAATATCATCTCTAGTGTGCTGTTGTTGTAGAATATGTAAGAAAAACTATATTAAATTTTGAAAAGGACAAGAATCCTTCAGAAAATGACGATTTTGCAGTATATTAAATCTGGACTGTGTATATGTTCATTTTTCTGGAGAAGATTATTCTATTCCAGAAATACCTTCGTCTTTCAAGTAGAAGACAAACGTTCAGGTTAGCTTGTCTGATGACAATTAATACATGGTAAATAAAGATCTTGATCCTTCTGTATATACTCAGTCCAGATTTAATATATCAGAGCACCTTCACGTCCCAAACCACTTCTTTATCTGCAGTAAAACAGGTTTTCATGGGTTCTATAGCACCAGGGTGCCAGAGGCAGTATTTCCACAGCAGAGTCCTGTCAGTGAGTATTAGCATGTTTTAAGTTTGCTGAGAGAAGTTGTTTGAGTTGGTTAAGCTTTCTGTGGAAACACAGTTGGTGCAAGGTTGTGGTATGTTTGCAAGGTTTGATAGGATGTGTGGCTTCATGTTGTCGCAGCATCAGCATGGTCGTGACTGTGGATGAATCTGAGGAAAGGATACAGTGCAAGGCTGTGATGGTTAGAAAATTGAGTTCTCCATTATCCTTAGTGGAGATCAGTGCTGGTGCAGTTGGTGGGGTTTGGAGAGCCAAGAGGGACCAGCCAGTAAATGGGCACCTCAGAATGACCTGAGTCAGTCTTTTTGTTTCTGGATCTTGAGTTTTTGCCTCCAGTGAGAGTGCAGATCCCTATACTTCAGTGTCTTCATTTTGACCTGAATTTCATATACAATAACTAACAAGACTGATATGAGTCATGCATGAATGTCAGATCTAAAACCTACGGTTCAAAGTCAAAGACTAAGACATTGCTCAAATCCTCCAAACACAACAGAGAACTCT